GCACATGTGCTTTTTTAACGGGCTGTCGTTCTATAGTCGTTGTGGACAAAATTTTTAGTGCTAACGCATTCAAACGAGAAGGCGAGTAATTTTCACCTGTGTTAAGTTGCAAAAACCTGAAGTTTACAGGATTTTAAATTTAGTTTACTTTCACGGATTTCATTCCTTATAGACATTCAAACCTTGTATTCTAACACTTTGTAAATGGAGATGAACTTTATTCGTCTCGGGTATCCAAGTTTTGCATGGGATCTTTTAAACGAAACCGTTTTATTTTCTTGGTTTACACCTTACATAAAGGGTGTATCAGAGATTCTTCGCCGCTGCCTACAACATCAAGCATAAGGACCGTTTTCAAATCTGACATACCGCTGAGGTCTCACTGAGTGCGACCTAGCTAAAGATGCCTTAGAACTAACAAAACAAAACGGTGTCGTTTACAAGATCCCATGCGACTGCGGCAAAGTGTATATCGGTGAAACAGGGAGATCAATGCGAAAAAGGATAAAAGAACATGACAGAGACATACGGTTTGCTCGTACTCAGACCGCTGCGGTTTCGGAGCACGCTAACGAAACGGGGCATATTCCTATTTGGGGCCAGGTTAAGTTCATTGTATGATCCACACGTAGAGTCAAAGAGGCTATCCAAAAAGACTTCATCCCAACAACATCAGTGGAATCGAAATTCCTGAAGCTTGAATACCCACGATCAAACAACAGAACAGCCGATCAGCTCGGACCTATGGGGGAACACCATCTAACAACCGGAATAATAATGAGGATCGGAATACACCAACAGCAGCGAATCAACGTGCTACAAATAGCGACACGTGAAGAATCGACATAACCTCCTGATGAAGACTAGCAGCATTGCAGTCGAAACGTCGCGATCAACATCCAAAGTGACACCATCGTGAGACAAACCAGTAAAGTTCATCTCGTATCTCACACCATGATGAACAATAACCACATATTTTATCACCTTATGAATGAATAATTGATTTTATGTATTTTCTGGGGAATTCGACACCACGATTAAAGTATGCATGAGTATCATGGCTATAAATGTGCCATTGCTCTGTATTTGGCCATCAGCCTGTCCTTGTACATTA